CACGACAAACCAGTTTAATTCCATTTTCCTTTTACATATAATAAATTTACATTTTTTTTATAAGCAAGAGACTGACCAGTAATCGTCCCATCCGCGTCGGCTCTTGGACCTTCCGTAGCGCCAGTACGGGAACCCTAACTCTGGGCGTTTCGCGTTTTGAAACGCGCACCACCCGATTGAGTAAATCGTGATGAGGACGACGATCGCCACGATGTTGAGGATCGAGAGTTTTCGCCAATCGCGACGCACCGTCTCCAGAACGCCGGCCCTGCACGAGTCGCAGTCGTAACACAGCTCCTTCACGTCGTTGCTCCAGCGGTAGCAGTCCGCGTCCTGCTCCACCGGCGTCACCGCGTTGTAGACGCACGCCGTCGGCGGTTTGCAGCATCCCGACTGCATGCATGCGTTTCCAGAATTCGCGTTTGCGGCCCGTTTAGCAGGAGAAGACACTCTATCTATATATACGTATACATGAGAAGATTCGGTGTATGTACATACCTGAATAGGAGTGAGGTTCTTCTGAAGATAATCGAGAGGAGTCCAGAGAGAAACCGTGGCACAAGCCTTGGAACCCAAAAGGCAACTCCTAATAGTGATCCAGTAATTATAATCCCTAACCCTATTCCTTAACCATGGATGATAATCTTGAAGACTATACTCTTTGTAAACCCTACCTGCAACATCAACCCCACTTCCATGGCTTGTCACCACAATCCCAAACACGGTCAAGCCCATTAGAGCTGCGATTATCAGGAACATCACGAAGAGATAGATCCAAAGCGCGCATGCGACGTTGCAGCATGCCCCGATCAGTCCGGCTAATGACATGATTAAGACCGCTAATCCCAGGATTAGCAGCGGCTTCTGCAGAAAGTGCTCGCATGTTGCGTTGGATTTGGCCATCCCCAGAGCTCCTGCTATTATGGTTATGGCGGCTAAGAGCGTGAGTGAGTTCAATATCCCTATCACTGTGTTGCTTGTTCTGTACATTTTTTTTTGTTGTGAATGAATGATTCTGAATCTTTTTTCTCTTTCTTGGGGCGTGAGGGTTCTCTTTGTTGGTGGGTTTAAATTATAAAATGGGTGGTCTCTCTTTATATAAATTATATCTTTATGTACATATATACATATATACACACAGAGAGAGATACATTTTTATGTGGAGATTGTGTGTATAAAGATATTATATAGGAATTCATGGCCTTCCTTCTTGGCATTATGATGATGCATTTGATTGGGTTTTTGTATTATTGGCATACTAATTTAAAAATATTATAGCATATTTCGTATTTTTTTCCTGCTGTTTTTTACACACAAACAAAATTTATAATCGATATCGATTTCATTATTCATTATTATATACTTTTCGATCTTCATGGGATATGGTTTTACTCTAAAAAAAATGAACATATTTAAACATGTTGTTAATAGTAAAATATACACACCAATATTAAATTTGGAAAACCGATGGCTTTATATCTTCTCTTTTTGTATCTTCTTTCACTAAGTTTTGGCGTTACCTCTTTCCATCATTTTTTATTTGGTGGGTTTGCTTTTCTCTTTTTATTTTATATGTGTATGTTGAAAAATATTGATGCTTTTTGCATTGGGAAAGCCCTACTAGGGCTGGGCGTTTCGTTTCGGTTCTTCAGAATCGGACCGAACCGAACCGTTAAAACGGTATTTTTCCCAACCCGAAACCGTTGTTATTTCCCGAACGGTACCATTTTTAGAGAACCGAATTTTCCCGGAACCGAACCGAACCGAACCGAATTTTAAAAATCCCGAAAATCCGAATATTTTTAAAAGAAATCTAACATTTTTTTAATAAAACCCGGAACCGAACCGAACCGAATACAATAAAAAACCCGATTGGTACCTATTTTTATAAAACCGAAAGAACCGAACCGATCCATTCCGTCCCGAACCCGAACCGTTTCCCGAAACGTCCACCCCTTAGCCCTAGTGCGAAGTTCCAACTGCCAAACAAGTTCACTTTGAAAGAAGACAGCTTCTTAACCATTAAGGAACTTTTTCTCCTTTTTTTTTTTAAATTTTATTTAATCAAACTAACCACAAAGCACGAATTATCGTATCCAGCATCTTGTATCACTATCATATGAAAGATCCTCTAATATGCCAAGTGGCTGTTGGTCTTGTTTTAGAAAATCCCCACGCCAAAAAGCTTCTTGACTCGAATTCAAGAAACTCCTTGTATCTGTCGTCGGACAAGAACTTGACCAACCATGGCCACATGATGAATGATGATGATGATGATGTCTTCGATTCCTAAAACATAATAAGACGCGACAATGGAAACAAAGACCTTCAGGGCAAAGGTTTTACAACATAACGCAGCGAAACCACCGAGTCTGAAAGACCAACCACCGTGTCTCATCGCCGAAAAATAAAACAATAACATTCAAGTCCAAAGTATCCCACCAGACGTTTTAGGCGTTTTATGATGCAAAAACATGCAGCAAGAGAGAGAGAGACCAAAATTCCCATAACACACGGCGGCCGCATCATCAGCGTTGCGAGTACCTGGACGAGAGTGATCCCCTGGAGCCACTCCCGAACGAGGGTCGACGGTCATCACCACGCCAAGTGTCGCTCTGGCGTTCTCCCCTCGGGCCACCCCAGCGGTCCCCTCCTTCAGCCGCAGGAGGGGCGGCCCTGCTGCTGGCCCACCGGTCAGGTCTCTGAGACGGCGGTCCCCTGCTTCCCCAGTGGTCATCCCCTGCAGGTGGTGCCCTGTTGGCACTGCTCCCGCCCCATCGGTCAGATTCCGCAGGTGGAGGTGCTGCTGCTCCTGAACCCGAGCCCGAACCTCCGGTGGTTTGAAGCCTGAACCTGGGAACGTACTGGTTAGGAGCAGAGGCTGGTGCTGCGGCTGGAGCAGCAGCAGCAGCTGTGGCTACGGCAGCTGGAGCAGCAATGGCAGGCTCTGAGAAACGAGGAGGTGGAGCTTCGGTTGGTTTCATCAGGGCGTCTCGCCTCAGCCTCTCCTTCTCCTCGGCTTCCCGCTCTCTCTGCCTTTGCTTCTCAGCAATCTCATCCAACTTAGCTTTGCGCTCCGCTTCCTCCTTTCTCTTCCTCTCAGCCTCTGCGAATGGTAAAATTCAGAATGAATATAGACAGACAAGTGCATACCGTTAAGACAGAATCCAACTGCAGACTATGACACAAAATTGAACAACGAACAGAGTGATGCATGTTTATTAAAGCGGGTCTCTCAACCTTCGCGCTTGCGAGATTCTTCTTCTTCTCGCAGCTTCGTTATTCTTTCTTCTTCGCATGTCAAATAGAATATCTGCTTTCTTTTAATATCTCTTTCCTGTTTCCTAGCTTGTATTATCTGGTTGATGCGCTCCTCTTTCTCTGCCCTTAGCCGGTCAAATTCTGCTTGTCTACGTTTAATCACTCTCTCCTGGAATACATTCTGGAATCAAAAGATTCTGTTTCAGTTGCTTGGAAATGGGAGCTAAGCTTAGCAGAAAAAAAAAAGGAACTTGAGAGAATATTTAGAAGAACATTCAAAAGAATAGTTAAAAGCACACTTCAGACTCTCGGCAAGTCAGTACCAACCTTACTATCCAGCATTCTGGCCAATCTGTTCTTTTCCTTCAGGTCACTCTCGTGACGCTCCCTGCTGAGCTCAACCTCACGCTGAGATCGAAAGGAGAAATTATCTCAGAAAACCTCAATAGAGCCCAGTTATAGGCCAAAATGCAATAGCATTGTAACAGTAAAAGTTGGGAGTTCCTGTCTAAGATATTAAATTCAGGATATACCAAACATCACAATACCCTACGAGAACAAAAGAGAAATGAAAAAAGGAGCACACTTGTCCAATACCGTAAACATGGATAGCTCAAGGACAAAAAAAAACACCTAGTAAGGAACTGTTTAAATGACTCACCTGTTGCTCGCGTTCATGAAGCTCCCTTTCTTCGACTAAACGTCGTTGATACGCAGCTTCAATCAACGGAGCTGCCTCTTCTCTTTTTGCACGCTCCAAATAATCCATAGTTTTGGCAAGTTTTTGGAGCTTCTTCTCCATTTCTTGCCTCTCCTTCAGCTGCTCACTTAAGGCCCTTGCCATCACACTTTTTTTGGTCACCTTCTCCTACATTTGGTGTAAGTTTCAAACAACCACTACATATCTACTGGGAAAAGATAGACAAAACAATGCTATAAAAGGTGTATCAAAAACACCAGCAAGCTGCATTGGATAACTCACTCCATCTAAAAGAGTCTTCTTTTTGCCCTTCTTCAGGCGTTTTTCAGTGTCCTCCAGCAATGCTTGTGCTTCTTCAAGCTCCCTCTCTTCTATCTCCCGAAGAATCCTTTGTCTCCTTCTCTCCTCAAGCTCTGCAGCAAGTCTCTTCTGTTCTGCCTCTTCAGTTATCCTCTGAAGTTTAAGCCTTCTTTGCTCCTCTTCCCGTTCCTTTAAACGTAAGAAGAAAATTATTTTCAGGTTCAGCA